AACATACATTATACACACAATTCTTACATGCTTGGAAAGTCAAGAAAAATCTGGGATTTTCATTATTGTTAGGAAAAAGTAATGGAAAGTCCAGAAAATTGTTTATTTCATAAATTTTTAGGAAAATTTTGTAATTTTAATTTTGATTGCATAACATAACAATTTAATTTTTTTCCAGTCTATTATTTTATAACATTCAGGAAATTTATTAAGGGATAAAGTTAATAAATATATACTTATTTTGTACATAGATTATACAGCATTTATTAATGAATAATAAATAATTGCTTGTTTCTTTGTTTCAAAGCTACATAAACTTGTGGTTGTGGATTAATAACAGAATAAACAACTATAATTTAATAAAACATTTTATTTCTAGTTTTAATAATTTGGCAATTATAAAAAATATTTAGGTGTTAATTAGAAAAAGAACTGATTAAAAAGTTGGAGAGGTAATAGTATATGTGCATAGTATGAGGGTCATTTAAATGAAACCCAACCAATGACTATAGAGGTAAGTGATGAGTAAGGCACTTGTCCCACTGTGACATCAGACATTCGATTCCTTGCTCATAAAACTTGGTGAGTTGATTGCTGCACCATTTCCCAAACTGCATCTTCCATCTCAGCATTCGATTGAAACTTATGCCCTTTCAGGTTCCTCTTAAGCTCCTTGAAAATATGGAAATCACACAGACAAGTCAGGACTGCTTTTGCAGGATGCTGGAGTGTTTCCCACTTGAATTTCACAAGGGATTCCTGCACGATGCATGCAGTGTGAGGGCGGGCATTGTCATGAAGAAGGACTACATGTTGCGAAAGCAGGCCAGGTTGCTTGGATTTGATTGAAGCTTGCAGAGATTTTAAAGTTTCCACATACCAAGCATTTATGGTGGTTCCACAGGCTGTAAACTCCATCAGCAATGGGCTTTTGCTGTCAAAGAAGAATGTCAACATCACCTTTCTTGTTGTTGTCTGCATTTCCTTTGATTTCTTCTAGTGGAAACACTTCTTTTGCTTTCTGGCTGGAAATGAAAGCACCATGTTTTGTCTCCTGAAACAATTCTCTCTATGAAATGATGGCCTTCATTGCAGTACCGCAGCAAATGTTCCAATGACAGACCCATGCAAAAGTCTTTTTGCACAGATGTCAAGTTGTGTAGCATCCACTGGGTGCAGATCTTTCAATACTGCAGATGCTCACAAATAATGTTGTGCACACTACCAATGCTAATTCCAACCTCGGTCACCAGCTTCCACAGTGACTTGTCTATTGTCCAAAATGAATCTATTGCACAATGTGCTTGCTTTGGCCTGGCATCATCAGCCGCCAACGACGACTGACTATCTCAGAAGTGCTTACTCCAGTCTTTCACTGCTGTCAAACCCATACAGCCGATTGCAGAGACAGAGTTTACATTAAACGACGTTTACACATTGGCTCTTACTTACTTCGCTATTACTCCCCTGTTTTAGGAGTCGTTCGGCCAATCGGATTATTTCTTCGTGACGTCAGAAATGGTCGAGTGAGTCTAGAAAATAGGTCAAATAACTTGTTTCTAATCGCTGTCTTGTAGACAGCGATTAGAAACAAGTTATTTGACCTATTTTCTAGACTCACTCGACCATTTCTGACGTCACGAAGAAATAATCCGATTGGCCGAACGACTCCTAAAACAGGGGAGTAATAGCGAAGTAAGTAAGAGCCAATGTGTAAACGTCGTTTAATGTAAACTCTGTCTCTGCAATCGGCCGATACAGTTTCAATACACATTGCTCATGCGGTGATGCATGGCATGGGGTCCAATACCTTCTGAAGTTAAAAAAACACGCACTACCACTCATTGCTCAATTATTGATACATCCATGATTGAAAGTTGGATGGAGTATCTGCTTGACATGCTAAACAAATGCAACTTGTTTGTAGTTTCATATGACAGCAGCATCACTTGACACTGCAGTATAAGTCTACAGTGTTTCCATCTACATTTCAAATGGAGAATGATTTGCTACATGCATTCTGTGCTTTGATATATCCATTGGTTGCATTTCATTTGAATGATCCTCAAGTCAAATGCTGTTTTATTTTGTCGATGTGCAGTGTCATACTGTAAGAGACATAAGGGTCAGATCTATAATAATTCAATTTATTATGCAAGTGTGACAATGCATTAGTCATACTTGCAATAAGATCAGTGGTCATTCTGGATAAACCTAAGAAAATTTGTATTTAGTTTGATAAAAGAGACAGTTATCAAATCATCTTTGTTTATCCAAATCCACTTCATTATTTGGTGGATGGTCAATTCAGGACAAAGCCATTCTTGTTCCAAAGGGAGAAAATTATGCACAAATTAATGAGCTTGTTATTAGAGTAATTCCTGACAAAGTGTCCAGAATTTACCACCTTAAACACAGCATACAAATAAATTTAGTAATCCATTTTTGTGGTAGGTGTTGGGATGTGAATATGTTTCATGCTCCAAATAACTTTTTCTGTTTATACTACTGGCTTTCTACTTTTACTGATAAAATAATTTATATACATTTAGCCTAAATATGTTAAGTGATGCAGAAAAATAATTTGCCTGACACTGTTTTGTAGTTTATAAATATTTATAGTACAGAATTGAAATTATATTATTTGATTATTTTAACTCTGATATATATGATACATTATTTTTAAGAAAGCATGTCATAACTGGTTTAGATGTCTTTTTAATCATTTCATTCACAGTTAAACAATATATAGAAAACTAGCTTACCCGTCGCGCATTGCTGCGATCTCAGAAGAAAGGAAATTTAAGCAAACTCGTTATGACAAAATTCAATTTACATTTTATAATTTTTATTAAAACTTATTATTATTACATTATTATTTTGAGTCGATATTAAAATTTGAAAAGGGGGGGATACCTAGATCGGTAAAATACGCAAATTTCCTCCTACAACTTCGGTTGTTGTTTGGGGTACAGTTGAGGTTTTAACGAGGTTCGAGCGAATACATAATTAGCAAAAAATAAAGTTGAAATAAAGTGATTAAACAAAAATTATTACAAATATCATAAATAACAGTTCACAAATGCATATATAGAGATATTTTTTGAAGGGGGAAATGGTCTTCACAATTTGAAATCGATCGAACACACTGTGCTCGAATGCTCGTGTAAATGCGCGCCATCTATCGTAGGATGGCAATCGTACTATGCCACAAACCTTCGCCGGAGTATATTAAGCAACTTCCCAAAGTTTCACGGCAATCGGATAAACGGTGTGGTAATGCATGAAGGACACACACACACACACAGAGACATACATTCATTTTTATATATATAGATTATGTAATTTAATTTCAGCATATTCAGTTCTTTTGTGTCCTGTAATTAATAAGTGTTTCAAATTTCTGTTTAGTTTGATTTTTTACTTAATATTATCATTCTTTTACTATCGATGTAAATTTGTGTGTTTAAACTGTTTATTGAATTCTTTAATGTTTCAGTTTTTTAGGCTAATATTCTTGGATCTTTATTACTTTGGATATATTAGACTCTAGAAAAACTCAATTAATGGAAGGTTGTAATTTTTGAAGTTTATTGAATCTGTTTATTATATAAAAGATTTCAAGGAAGATATTACAAAAAAGTAGATTAAAATAATGTTTGTGAAACTTATGCTGTTTTATAAGTTTTATTTTCATCAAACATGTTTATATTTATACTCTATGATATCTGTTAATATAAACATGTATAAACCCAATTAAAAGATTCTGGAAGAAAAGAATAAGTCCAAGTTAATAATTAAATTTAATTATCAAGAGATTCCCAATTCTTCTATCTAGACTAAATTACTTGATATTGAATTAGTAACTACCTTAATGAGTTAAAATTGATTTATGAAAAAAAAATTTTATATAATTGAAAGTATTGAATGAATTTTTTAACAATCATTTTGAAAACAGTAATAACTATTTTTGATATGTTTCTTTTATTATTAATTAAAGCAATATTTTATCTATATATGGTTTTTGTGTTATACTTCAATTGCAAGTAGATTATTTCCTTTTTTCTGATAATATACTATTTATTGGCATATAAAAATAATTTTACTTAACAATATTCCTCTCAGATATACTGTACTGTTAAAACATAATACTTGACAAGATGATGATGATTCTGTTACTTCATAAACCCCTTATTCTGGATTATCTTTCTTATTAATCTACTTTGACTTCAAATTTTCTTTTCTTTCTCAAACTGAAAATCAGAAAAACTTTTCCATTGCACAACTAAGTAGGTACAAAAATTTAGGTCAGATTTTACTTGTTAGTTTGCTTGAATTTTATAGAAAAATCAAAAATGTTTTAAGTTTGAATCAAGTTGAGACATTTTCAGCGGCACATTTTGATGCTAGGCAGAATTGGTCTGGGTTGTGTTCTACCTTGTTGTGATGTCCATGTTGACCTTGACCAAGTGTTCTGTTTCCTTTGTTCGTCAGCAAAGATTAACTGAGAAACTGATCCAGGCAAATAATTTACTTTATTTGAATCGGACACGTGATATTTACAATAGTGTCGAGATATAATACAAATCCAAGATCATCACTGCTGTTGACTCCAAAAGGTTAACCCACAATAGTCTGAGTCAGACTGAACTGGTTCAGACGATTGAGTTATGCATTTACCCATTTTTCAAAAAATATTATACTATAATAATTTTGTGAAATTTAATCATTAAAAGTAATATTTGTTGTAATAAAATAAAATATATTTATTTAAAATGAAATTTCTCAACAGAATATTACTCAAAGCAGTGTACCATTCATAGTGACACAGTCTCCACTTCCTTCTACATATGTTGATTTTTGGTCAATGATTTGGGAACAACAGACAGAAATTGTGGTTTGCTTGTTGAGTAATACCGAAGTAATTAATTTATTTAAATCTTTTTCATAATTTATGGCTTTTATCAAAATTATTTATATTTTTTATATAATTCCCTCAGTTGAAATCACAAATTTACTGGCCTGTGGAGAGAGGTAATCAAATAAATCATGGGCCATTTACTCTTTCATTACAAAGTACAAAAGAAAAACAAACCTATGTGGAAAGCATTCTCAGTATTATTCATAATGAAGTAAGTTATTTATTAGAAATAAATAAATATTACTATTAGAATTTAGATTTGAAAGAAAGATTTTTTTTACAGACGAGAATGTCTCGAGTTGTGATTCATTTGCAATTTACTGCCTTTCCCATTAAGTATGTCTTCAAATTATACTATTATTAATTTAAAAAGAGATAAAATAATTAAATACATTATATTTTTATTTTCTTTTTAGTGGTGTTCCTGCTAGTCCCTCTCATTTACTTCAGTTTATTGCTGAAGTTCACAACTACCATCGACAACAACGAAATTTAGCAAGACCTGTTGTTGTTCATTGTAGGTATGTTCATAAAATAACAAAAATGTTTCATTTTATTTCATTATTTCTTATTAAATTAAAGCTAAAATGTAAATTCTTACATTGTTTTATAAAATTTCTAGTGGAGGTATAGGAAGGAGTGGAGCATTTTGTCTGTTATCAGCATCCATTAAAGAAATGGCTTGTGGTCGAACACCATTTGACATTTCTCAAATTGCTGCAAGAATGAGTCAACAACGAAAATTTCTCATTCAAGAAAAAGACCATTTAAAGTTCTGTTATGATGCAGTTCTGTATCATGCTCAGGACATTTTAATGAAACGTAAGAAACAATTTTAATTTGATTTAATTAAAAATAAATACTTTGCCAGAAGTTTTGTGGCATGTAAAGAAAAGATAACAACTTCACTTTAAATATCTTTTGAAGAATTAAAACCATAATTTTGATTTAGTATTTTAACAATAGATCATATTATAAATAATACTTTACTCAGATTATATTATATTGTAAAAAATAATAATAATTTTCTTAACTGTAGTAAATCTAGCAGATTTTTATGAATTTTACGCTGATACATTTTGTAAACTGTAGTTTTCATTAGTAATACTATAGTTTTTTATAGCAAGATTTCACAGAGTTAACTCTAAAATTCAGTACATGCAAATATTGTTAGGAAGAATAGTAGGTAAGGAATTTGGCATAAAAATTTATTTAATTACAGTCATTGATTAAAAATCTTATTTGGATGAACATAATGATTATAACTTCAATTTTTTGTTAGTTTTCTTTGAAGAATTTTTTTAATGTCATTATGTCAGTGCTTTCCTTCTTTATAATTATGTGAGACAAGCAGGGGTAAGGGGTTAATTAATCCCTCCTGACCACTTAATCTGCACAGGCTGGTAAAACTCGGTCTCAGAGTCGTTGGATGGCTAGGTGGGCAAAAAGTGAGAATGGGGAGTGCGTCGGTAAGCCGGCACTCAACGAAAGGAGACAGGTTTAACAAATAAACACAACATTCATTGAATAACTAATCTAAGTTACAGGAGGCAAAAAATAATACTAAGGTTAAATGCAGTTATGCCATAATATTTACATAACATGGTCAACTAATCTCTTAACTATGTCGCTGACCTAATTTCTAGTTCAAGAGAGAGAGGGCTTTTACAAATTCTAAATCCCTAAATACCTCTCTGCGAAATGGAGAGTTGGCACATCGTCTTGGTATCTTCTAACCAGTGTCTTCTCCCTGTGGCTGGATTGGATCCACTGTATGGAGGTGAGGGAGTCAAAATGACACTATTACCAAGTATAACTTCCTATGACGAAATCGCCCTGAGCTTCCGGGGCTTGAGCTTTTATTCGCTTCTTGTGGGAAAAGAGTCACATGATCGTTTGTTATAACAATTACATGGGAAAGTTGACACATAGGTGTCAAGAAAGCACTGTTAATCTCAACATATGACGATGACCTCCAATATAATTCTCACCAGGAGCGTTTTTTTCTATTGGAGTTGTTTACATTTCTTTTTTTCCCAACTACTGCATTAAATTTGTGATTTCCCAATTATTTAAAATTTTATTCATGTAACAAAAGGCTGGATTATATTAAAGATATGCCTTATGATTAATACTTTAAATTAGAAATTATTTTTATCAATGTAGAAATGAGGAGTGTGCCTTATTTGTTGTTGGTGTGAATTTCAATTGACTTTTACTATGGGTTATCCAGTTTTGGTTGGAGTATATGACTTAAAAGTAATGTCTTTATACCTGATTTTTTCTACTAATGATAGACTCTTCTTTAGACAAAGCTAGACCATTTTGGTCTGATCTTTATTTAAAGAACACAAGATTAAAAAATAAGTGAATTTTCATATTTAGAATATTAACTGTACCACTAATGCAGAGTTCAATTTATTTATGATTTTCAAAACTTTAATTTTGATTCATTACAAAATATTAAATTTCTTGGTAATAATTAATTATTATGCCTTTGTGTCATTTATCTTGTATACTAGTACAATATCAATTAACAGGACTTAGTTTCTGCATCAATAAGTCCTGTTATTATACTAGTATACAAGATAGCATGCTAAATTCATAATCAAGAATTTAAAAATTTATGCTTTGTCTGTTTGGAGAATAGAGGGGAAAATGCAGTGAGTAATATGAAGAATCGAATCATTCAAACACTTGAATCAGCTTATCATATATGGTATCAAGATATAAATTTATTCCCATCATCTACTGTTTATCTTGAATGATATTTAAATAAATGAGTTTAACAACAGTAAAATTTTGATTATGTATTTTCTAATTACATCATTAACAAGTCATATTCTCTCCTGTAATATTTATGTTAAGGCATTTAACTTTCCTGTTGGATTAGTTCAATGTCATTTGTTACAAGACTGCTTTCCATAAATATTTTTTGTCATATTTACTACATAATTCTGGACATATATATATATCAGGCACAGATTTTTAAATTATTTATTTTAACTGTATGGCACAAAATAATATTAATACTTTGTGAAAAATAACTGATATGAGAAATTGGATATATAACCATTTATTCCTGCATTAAAAATGCAAGTTTATGCTATTTCCCTAATTTTTGTTTAATTAAAATATTTTCCTTGTGAGGACATTGTATACAATTTTGTCAAATGGAGTTTGCATCATGATGAGAAAAAAAATCTTGGTTCTTGGAGAATAGTACATCTGGTTCTGATGCAAATGATGATGATGGTAAAGAATCTCTTGATGTGTCAGCTGTGATGACAGCTCAGCTCAGCTCAGCGAAAGAGCGAGGAACATGTGAGGTTGCTGCACACTGTAGGAAGATGGACTACTACTGTGTTAGTTAAACATATTTTTACCAGCTTGTTGAAGATTCATATTTTGTTGTATCTTCTTGGTTCTTTATGCTGAACACTGTTTCTCATGATGAAGACATCAAAAGAATGTTTAAGAATAAAACTAATACTTTATGAACTATCAATACACCTGTTGCTGAAAAATGTTTATTAAACAAAACACAAACGTTTTCAGCATAATACATCTTCAGGTTTAACTGAATTTGAACACCTTTTCAAAAATTTAACATTTTAATGATGGAACATCCAAACATTTTTGGATGTTAAATTTTTGAAAAGGTGTTCAAATTCAGTTAAACCTGAAGATGTATTATGCTGAAAACGTTTGTGTTTTGTTTAATAAATATTTCTTGGCAATAGAAAGGTGTACTGATAGTTTATCAAAACTTAATGAAGTATTCTTAACTAACCAAACATCAAACAGAACAAATCTGAAAACCGAATCTGTGGGTGAAGGATGAAGTAATGGAAACTTGGAGAAGGCTCCAATAACAAGGCAGGTCTTGCAATCAGCCAAGATTTTCCACAAATGATATAAGGAAAGAATTATGAAACAGAGGATGAAATAGCTTTATTAGAAACATCAGCATTCTCAAAAATTTCAGATTACATTCTGGGCTTGGAGGTAAGAAAATGAAAGAAGGGATGGAAATGGATTGAGAAACCATCTAAGTAATTCATCCTGGCAATTTTTCCTGGATAGTTTCTGGTTCAGATACCATTTCCAATCCCTGTTCCATTTCTGTCCACAATATAATGTTTTTGTATTATCATGTCTTATGAAATCAATATGATTTGTTAAAAAACAAAACGAAGGATTCTGAATACTGGATGATATAAATAATTGTGTAATCAGTTATTTATAATCATTTTACTACTTAGTTGTAAAATTACATGATATAAAACTGATAACATTTAACAACGTCAGGTAAATTTATCGATTTTTGAGAATTAAATATTTTTACGGATGATTTGTAAAATTCATCACTGAAAAATTTTATTATATATTTAAATCATTATTGGAATTAACTGAATTATTTCAAAAGTTATTTAATCCTATTTAAATTTGTAATTTGCTACTTTAGGAGGAATATTGACAAATAAAGCAAAGTTCGAAGATAAACTTCCAAGTAGTCAGCACACCCATATACGTCACCCTTCGGAAGATTTCGTTCTCGGGGCGGAAGGATTAGCAAAATTACAGTCCGGCACTAATAAAGTAGAAACAACAGATAAGACGGAAGAAAAGGGAGGAAAAAGCGAATACGGAACGGAAGAAAAAGTCGCGGAAAGTTCTCATTCGGATCCCATTTCAAGAGAAGACAAATCTGTTTCGGAAAAAATTGATGCCCATTCGGATACTGTCATAAAACCCAATGAAAGTCGTAGTAATTCACTTCCGACGCCAGCTATGAGTGTTCCGTCAACAGATCGTAAAGGATCGGGCGATAGAACGATGAACGAAGGCAGCCCATCTATTACCAGTCTGTTGGATCCTGCTAAATTTACCCTGGACGATTCATCCCCAGGTAAAAGGAGAATCACTAAAGATAGCTTCAATACCAAATCGAATTCTCTGGACTGTCAGGATCCCAGTGATCCTCTCAGCCAATTGGATCCACTGTGGTCTTTAAAAAAGACATAGACTATCTATTTGGCTATGGAGAAGAAAAGAAATTCCTCGAAATGCTTAAATGTTGATTCATTAATTTATAAAATAAATTTTATATTTCCTTCTAAACAAAGACATTTTGTATTATATTGTTAAAGCACGTATTTTGTCTATATTAAAAGCTTTTCTCTGTTTTTATAATTGTCGCAATAATTAACTGGAAATACGTTAATCGTCGAAAATATACTATTTTGGATTCAAGAATCCCTAGATAAGGAGTTTTTTAAACATTTCTACCGATAAAATATATAGGAAGTGGCTTTTTTGCAGCGTGGGCGACTTTTAGAAATTGAATCACCTCCCGCTATTCAAACATTCCGATTTGATTGATGTATTTACATTAAGAAATATCTATTCAATCATTTTTTGAGAGTATAATTAAATATATTTATCTGTAGATAATAAATTTCTTAATTTTGTAAGAAATTAATATCTTAACGCTTGTAAGACTTCTNCAGGGGAGTAATAGCGAAGTAAGTAAGAGCCAATGTGTAAACGTCGTTTAATGTAAACTCTGTCTCTGCAATCGGCCGATACAGTTTCAATACACATTGCTCATGCGGTGATGCATGGCATGGGGTCCAATACCTTCTGAAGTTAAAAAAACACGCACTACCACTCATTGCTCAATTATTGATACATCCATGATTGAAAGTTGGATGGAGTATCTGCTTGACATGCTAAACAAATGCAACTTGTTTGTAGTTTCATATGACAGCAGCATCACTTGACACTGCAGTATAAGTCTACAGTGTTTCCATCTACATTTCAAATGGAGAATGATTTGCTACATGCATTCTGTGCTTTGATATATCCATTGGTTGCATTTCATTTGAATGATCCTCAAGTCAAATGCTGTTTTATTTTGTCGATGTGCAGTGTCATACTGTAAGAGACATAAGGGTCAGATCTATAATAATTCAATTTATTATGCAAGTGTGACAATGCATTAGTCATACTTGCAATAAGATCAGTGGTCATTCTGGATAAACCTAAGAAAATTTGTATTTAGTTTGATAAAAGAGACAGTTATCAAATCATCTTTGTTTATCCAAATCCACTTCATTATTTGGTGGATGGTCAATTCAGGACAAAGCCATTCTTGTTCCAAAGGGAGAAAATTATGCACAAATTAATGAGCTTGTTATTAGAGTAATTCCTGACAAAGTGTCCAGAATTTACCACCTTAAACACAGCATACAAATAAATTTAGTAATCCATTTTTGTGGTAGGTGTTGGGATGTGAATATGTTTCATGCTCCAAATAACTTTTTCTGTTTATACTACTGGCTTTCTACTTTTACTGATAAAATAATTTATATACATTTAGCCTAAATATGTTAAGTGATGCAGAAAAATAATTTGCCTGACACTGTTTTGTAGTTTATAAATATTTATAGTACAGAATTGAAATTATATTATTTGATTATTTTAACTCTGATATATATGATACATTATTTTTAAGAAAGCATGTCATAACTGGTTTAGATGTCTTTTTAATCATTTCATTCACAGTTAAACAATATATAGAAAACTAGCTTACCCGTCGCGCATTGCTGCGATCTCAGAAGAAAGGAAATTTAAGCAAACTCGTTATGACAAAATTCAATTTACATTTTATAATTTTTATTAAAACTTATTATTATTACATTATTATTTTGAGTCGATATTAAAATTTGAAAAGGGGGGGATACCTAGATCGGTAAAATACGCAAATTTCCTCCTACAACTTCGGTTGTTGTTTGGGGTACAGTTGAGGTTTTAACGAGGTTCGAGCGAATACATAATTAGCAAAAAATAAAGTTGAAATAAAGTGATTAAACAAAAATTATTACAAATATCATAAATAACAGTTCACAAATGCATATATAGAGATATTTTTTGAAGGGGGAAATGGTCTTCACAATTTGAAATCGATCGAACACACTGTGCTCGAATGCTCGTGTAAATGCGCGCCATCTATCGTAGGATGGCAATCGTACTATGCCACAAACCTTCGCCGGAGTATATTAAGCAACTTCCCAAAGTTTCACGGCAATCGGATAAACGGTGTGGTAATGCATGAAGGACACACACACACACACAGAGACATACATTCATTTTTATATATATAGATTATGTAATTTAATTTCAGCATATTCAGTTCTTTTGTGTCCTGTAATTAATAAGTGTTTCAAATTTCTGTTTAGTTTGATTTTTTACTTAATATTATCATTCTTTTACTATCGATGTAAATTTGTGTGTTTAAACTGTTTATTGAATTCTTTAATGTTTCAGTTTTTTAGGCTAATATTCTTGGATCTTTATTACTTTGGATATATTAGACTCTAGAAAAACTCAATTAATGGAAGGTTGTAATTTTTGAAGTTTATTGAATCTGTTTATTATATAAAAGATTTCAAGGAAGATATTACAAAAAAGTAGATTAAAATAATGTTTGTGAAACTTATGCTGTTTTATAAGTTTTATTTTCATCAAACATGTTTATATTTATACTCTATGATATCTGTTAATATAAACATGTATAAACCCAATTAAAAGATTCTGGAAGAAAAGAATAAGTCCAAGTTAATAATTAAATTTAATTATCAAGAGATTCCCAATTCTTCTATCTAGACTAAATTACTTGATATTGAATTAGTAACTACCTTAATGAGTTAAAATTGATTTATGAAAAAAAAATTTTATATAATTGAAAGTATTGAATGAATTTTTTAACAATCATTTTGAAAACAGTAATAACTATTTTTGATATGTTTCTTTTATTATTAATTAAAGCAATATTTTATCTATATATGGTTTTTGTGTTATACTTCAATTGCAAGTAGATTATTTCCTTTTTTCTGATAATATACTATTTATTGGCATATAAAAATAATTTTACTTAACAATATTCCTCTCAGATATACTGTACTGTTAAAACATAATACTTGACAAGATGATGATGATTCTGTTACTTCATAAACCCCTTATTCTGGATTATCTTTCTTATTAATCTACTTTGACTTCAAATTTTCTTTTCTTTCTCAAACTGAAAATCAGAAAAACTTTTCCATTGCACAACTAAGTAGGTACAAAAATTTAGGTCAGATTTTACTTGTTAGTTTGCTTGAATTTTATAGAAAAATCAAAAATGTTTTAAGTTTGAATCAAGTTGAGACATTTTCAGCGGCACATTTTGATGCTAGGCAGAATTGGTCTGGGTTGTGTTCTACCTTGTTGTGATGTCCATGTTGACCTTGACCAAGTGTTCTGTTTCCTTTGTTCGTCAGCAAAGATTAACTGAGAAACTGATCCAGGCAAATAATTTACTTTATTTGAATCGGACACGTGATATTTACAATAGTGTCGAGATATAATACAAATCCAAGATCATCACTGCTGTTGACTCCAAAAGGTTAACCCACAATAGTCTGAGTCAGACTGAACTGGTTCAGACGATTGAGTTATGCATTTACCCATTTTTCAAAAAATATTATACTATAATAATTTTGTGAAATTTAATCATTAAAAGTAATATTTGTTGTAATAAAATAAAATATATTTATTTAAAATGAAATTTCTCAACAGAATATTACTCAAAGCAGTGTACCATTCATAGTGACACAGTCTCCACTTCCTTCTACATATGTTGATTTTTGGTCAATGATTTGGGAACAACAGACAGAAATTGTGGTTTGCTTGTTGAGTAATACCGAAGTAATTAATTTATTTAAATCTTTTTCATAATTTATGGCTTTTATCAAAATTATTTATATTTTTTATATAATTCCCTCAGTTGAAATCACAAATTTACTGGCCTGTGGAGAGAGGTAATCAAATAAATCATGGGCCATTTACTCTTTCATTACAAAGTACAAAAGAAAAACAAACCTATGTGGAAAGCATTCTCAGTATTATTCATAATGAAGTAAGTTATTTATTAGAAATAAATAAATATTACTATTAGAATTTAGATTTGAAAGAAAGATTTTTTTTACAGACGAGAATGTCTCGAGTTGTGATTCATTTGCAATTTACTGCCTTTCCCATTAAGTATGTCTTCAAATTATACTATTATTAATTTAAAAAGAGATAAAATAATTAAATACATTATATTTTTATTTTCTTTTTAGTGGTGTTCCTGCTAGTCCCTCTCATTTACTTCAGTTTATTGCTGAAGTTCACAACTACCATCGACAACAACGAAATTTAGCAAGACCTGTTGTTGTTCATTGTAGGTATGTTCATAAAATAACAAAAATGTTTCATTTTATTTCATTATTTCTTATTAAATTAAAGCTAAAATGTAAATTCTTACATTGTTTTATAAAATTTCTAGTGGAGGTATAGGAAGGAGTGGAGCATTTTGTCTGTTATCAGCATCCATTAAAGAAATGGCTTGTGGTCGAACACCATTTGACATTTCTCAAATTGCTGCAAGAATGAGTCAACAACGAAAATTTCTCATTCAAGAAAAAGACCATTTAAAGTTCTGTTATGATGCAGTTCTGTATCATGCTCAGGACATTTTAATGAAACGTAAGAAACAATTTTAATTTGATTTAATTAAAAATAAATACTTTGCCAGAAGTTTTGTGGCATGTAAAGAAAAGATAACAACTTCACTTTAAATATCTTTTGAAGAATTAAAACCATAATTTTGATTTAGTATTTTAACAATAGATCATATTATAAATAATACTTTACTCAGATTATATTATATTGTAAAAAATAATAATAATTTTCTTAACTGTAGTAAATCTAGCAGATTTTTATGAATTTTACGCTGATACATTTTGTAAACTGTAGTTTTCATTAGTAATACTATAGTTTTTTATAGCAAGATTTCACAGAGTTAACTCTAAAATTCAGTACATGCAAATATTGTTAGGAAGAATAGTAGGTAAGGAATTTGGCATAAAAATTTATTTAATTACAGTCATTGATTAAAAATCTTATTTGGATGAACATAATGATTATAACTTCAATTTTTTGTTAGTTTTCTTTGAAGAATTTTTTTAATGTCATTATGTCAGTGCTTTCCTTCTTTATAATTATGTGAGACAAGCAGGGGTAAGGGGTTAATTAATCCCTCCTGACCACTTAATCTGCACAGGCTGGTAAAACTCGGTCTCAGAGTCGTTGGATGGCTAGGTGGGCAAAAAGTGAGAATGGGGAGTGCGTCGGTAAGCCGGCACTCAACGAAAGGAGACAGGTTTAACAAATAAACACAACATTCATTGAATAACTAATCTAAGTTACAGGAGGCAAAAAATAATACTAAGGTTAAATGCAGTTATGCCATAATATTTACATAACATGGTCAACTAATCTCTTAACTATGTCGCTGACCTAATTTCTAGTTCAAGAGAGAGAGGGCTTTTACAAATTCTAAATCCCTAAATACCTCTCTGCGAAATGGAGAGTTGGCACATCGTCTTGGTATCTTCTAACCAGTGTCTTCTCCCTGTGGCTGGATTGGATCCACTGTATGGAGGTGAGGGAGTCAAAATGACACTATTACCAAGTATAACTTCCTATGACGAAATCGCCCTGAGCTTCCGGGGCTTGAGCTTTTATTCGCTTCTTGTGGGAAAAGAGTCACATGATCGTTTGTTATAACAATTACATGGGAAAGTTGACACATAGGTGTCAAGAAAGCACTGTTAATCTCAACATATGACGATGACCTCCAATATAATTCTCACCAGGAGCGTTTTTTTCTATTGGAGTTGTTTACATTTCTTTTTTTCCCAACTACTGCATTAAATTTGTGATTTCCCAATTATTTAAAATTTTATTCATGTAACAAAAGGCTGGATTATATTAAAGATATGCCTTATGATTAATACTTTAAATTAGAAATTATTTTTATCAATGTAGAAATGAGGAGTGTGCCTTATTTGTTGTTGGTGTGAATTTCAATTGACTTTTACTATGGGTTATCCAGTTTTGGTTGGAGTATATGACTTAAAAGTAATGTCTTTATACCTGATTTTTTCTACTAATGATAGACTCTTCTTTAGACAAAGCTAGACCATTTTGGTCTGATCTTTATTTAAAGAACACAAGATTAAAAAATAAGTGAATTTTCATATTTAGAATATTAACTGTACCACTAATGCAGAGTTCAATTTATTTATGATTTTCAAAACTTTAATTTTGATTCATTACAAAATATTAAATTTCTTGGTAATAATTAATTATTATGCCTTTGTGTCATTTATCTTGTATACTAGTACAATATCAATTAACAGGACTTAGTTTCTGCATCAATAAGTCCTGTTATTATACTAGTATACAAGATAGCATGCTAAATTCATAATCAAGAATTTAAAAATTTATGCTTTGTCTGTTTGGAGAATAGAGGGGAAAATGCAGTGAGTAATATGAAGAATCGAATCATTCAAACACTTGAATCAGCTTATCATATATGGTATCAAGATATAAATTTATTCCCATCATCTACTGTTTATCTTGAATGATATTTAAATAAATGAGTTTAACAACAGTAAAATTTTGATTATGTATTTTCTAATTACATCATTAACAAGTCATATTCTCTCCTGTAATATTTATGTTAAGGCATTTAACTTTCCTGTTGGATTAGTTCAATGTCATTTGTTACAAGACTGCTTTCCATAAATATTTTTTGTCATATTTACTACATAATTCTGGACATATATATATATCAGGCACAGATTTTTAAATTATTTATTTTAACTGTATGGCACAAAATAATATTAATACTTTGTGAAAAATAACTGATATGAGAAATTGGATATATAACCATTTATTCCTGCATTAAAAATGCAAGTTTATGCTATTTCCCTAATTTTTGTTTAATTAAAATATTTTCCTTGTGAGGACATTGTATACAATTTTGTCAAATGGAGTTTGCATCATGATGAGAAAAAAAATCTTGGTTCTTGGAGAATAGTACATCTGGTTCTGATGCAAATGATGATGATGGTAAAGAATCTCTTGATGTGTCAGCTGTGATGACAGCTCAGCTCAGCTCAGCGAAAGAGCGAGGAACATGTGAGGTTGCTGCACACTGTAGGAAGATGGACTACTACTGTGTTAGTTAAACATATTTTTACCAGCTTGTTGAAGATTCATATTTTGTTGTATCTTCTTGGTTCTTTATGCTGAACACTGTTTCTCATGATGAAGACATCAAAAGAATGTTTAAGAATAAAACTAATACTTTATGAACTATCAATACACCTGTTGCTGAAAAATGTTTATTAAACAAAACACAAACGTTTTCAGCATAATACATCTTCAGGTTTAACTGAATTTGAACACCTTTTCAAAAATTTAACATTTTAATGATGGAACATCCAAACATTTTTGGATGTTAAATTTTTGAAAAGGTGTTCAAATTCAGTTAAACCTGAAGATGTATTATGCTGAAAACGTTTGTGTTTTGTTTAATAAATATTTCTTGGCAATAGAAAGGTGTACTGATAGTTTATCAAAACTTAATGAAGTATTCTTAACTAACCAAACATCAAACAGAACAAATCTGAAAACCGAATCTGTGGGTGAAGGATGAAGTAATGGAAACTTGGAGAAGGCTCCAATAACAAGGCAGGTCTTGCAATCAGCCAAGATTTTCCACAAATGATATAAGGAAAGAATTATGAAACAGAGGATGAATTAGCTTTATTAGAAACATCAGCATTCTCAAAAATTTCAGATTACATTCTGGGCTTGGAGGTAAGAAAATGAAAGAAGGGATGGAAATGGATTGAGAAACCATCTAAGTAATTCATCCTGGCAATTTTTCCTGGATAGTTTCTGGTTCAGATACCATTTCCAATCCCTGTTCCATTTCTGTCCACAATATAATGTTTTTGTATTATCATGTCTTATGAAATCAATATGATTTGTTAAAAAACAAAACGAAGGATTCTGAATACTGGATGATATAAATAATTGTGTAATCAGTTATTTATAATCATTTTACTACTTAGTTGTAAAATTACATGATATAAAACTGATAACATTTAACAACGTCAGGTAAATTTATCGATTTTTGAGAATTAAATATTTTTACGGATGATTTGTAAAATTCATCACTGAAAAATTTTATTATATATTTAAATCATTATTGGAATTAACTGAATTATTTCAAAAGTTATTTAATCCTATTTAAATTTGTAATTTGCTACTTTAGGAGGAATATTGACAAATAAAGCAAAGTTCGAAGATAAACTTCCAAGTAGTCAGCACACCCATATACGTCACCCTTCGGAAGATTTCGTTCTCGGGGCGGAAGGATTAGCAAAATTACAGTCCGGCACTAATAAAGTAGAAACAACAGATAAGACGGAAGAAAAGGGAGGAAAAAGCGAATACGGAACGGAAGAAAAAGTCGCGGAAAGTTCTCATTCGGATCCCATTTCAAGAGAAGACAAATCTGTTTCGGAAAAAATTGATGCCCATTCGGATACTGTCATAAAACCCAATGAAAGTCGTAGTAATTCACTTCCGACGCCAGCTATGAGTGTTCCGTCAACAGATCGTAAAGGATCGGGCGATAGAACGATGAACGAAGGCAGCCCATCTATTACCAGTCTGTTGGATCCTGCTAAATTTACCCTGGACGATTCATCCCCAGGTAAAAGGAGAATCACTAAAGATAGCTTCAATACCAAATCGAATTCTCTGGACTGTCAGGATCCCAGTGATCCTCTCAGCCAATTGGATCCACTGTGGTCTTTAAAAAAGACATAGACTATCTATTTGGCTATGGAGAAGAAAAGAAATTCCTCGAAATGCTTAAATGTTGATTCATTAATTTATAAAATAAATTTTATATTTCCTTCTAAACAAAGACATTTTGTATTATATTGTTAAAGCACGTATTTTGTCTATATTAAAAGCTTTTCTCTGTTTTTATAATTGTCGCAATAATTAACTGGAAATACGTTAATCGTCGAAAATATACTATTTTGGATTCAAGAATCCCTAGATAAGGAGTTTTTTAAACATTTCTACCGATAAAATATATAGGAAGTGGCTTTTTTGCAGCGTGGGCGACTTTTAGAAATTGAATCACCTCCCGCTATTCAAACATTCCGATTTGATTGATGTATTTACATTAAGAAATATCTATTCAATCATTTTTTGAGAGTATAATTAAATATATTTATCTGTAGATAATAAATTTCTTAATTTTGTAAGAAATTAATATCTTAACGCTTGTAAGACTTTTGTATTTATGTACAAAATTAATTATATTATATATCACAGTATTTATAAAATGTATAAGTATTGGCTGTATTGAAAGAATAATCATTTATTAAATGAGAAATGTATAATAGTTTTTTTTTTCTTAATGTCCTTTTTCAGTTATGTATGCAATAAATAACATTTATTTTTAATAAAAGCAAATATTGAATCGTCGTCATCTATAAAAGTAATCGCAAAGCCATTTTAAACGGGTTTGCTAATATTAAAATTGTAAATATTCCTGAATAAAAATTTGCAATTTATTGTGACATAATTAAAAATTGTAGCCCGGCATCGTGACTAATTTAAAATACATGCTCTCCACCTCAAATTACTATTGTGGTGTCTTATAGAATATCGTTCTAGATATCGATGAAAGTCGCACCAAACGACAATAAAATCGACGAAGTTTAAATAAACATTTCCTATACTTTTCGATCACAGTATTAGTTAATATTTCACAATGCAATATAACTAAGCTGTTTTGTATTACTAGACAAAGTTAAGAGTTTGTTGCTTGTTAATTTAAATTTACTACTACAGACACTCCTCATTTAACGATAGAGTTCCGTTCCTTCACTAAATCGTTAAGCAAATTGCTCGATAAACGAGGAGCTTAATGTTTCTCGATAAATATATGGAAACCTTGGGGGCAGAAGGCCCCGATTAACTATATAAGAACTGATGCAAACCAGAAGTCATGTTATTTTAATTCAAAATTTTTCCCCTGTAAGGTGTTATATAAATATTTTGTAAAAATGAGCGAATAATTGCTTTTATGTGATACCGTAAAAACACTGGTGAAACCAGGTTGAAAAAGTAAACCTCAGCAAAAACAACATAAGTAAAGGAAAGTTGTTGCATAAGCATATTGGAAGTAGATTTGGCAGTAAAACAACGTGTGAATGAAGTGCACATTATACAGACTACAACTACAAGAAATTTTGAATGAAGCAATATCGCCATGATGGAAGGATGATAGGAAAAATAAACATCGGCACAGAAAGAGACTTCCAGCTTTACTTTGTGCCTTAATTAATTAAAACCGTTGCACGTACTGTACATTAATTTGGCTGAACGTTAGAACATCTTAAACAGTACCGGTGAAAGAAGTTTGGGGCATTGAGTTTATGAGTTACTAAAGGGAGATGAGATGAAATCGGGGAGGGAGCGAATGTCTAGGTTTCCTGGTAGTTAATTAAAAAAATAATTTTTTTTATCATTTTACAGTAAGAATTCGTAAAACATTAAATATTCAAAACTTACATTTATGAATTTCTATATATTTTGTTGACATTTGAAATAACTAATAAAAAAAAATAGACAAAAAAATCATTAAAATTGACAACGGTCAAAGCCGTGACTTTTTCTTACTACATCTATACCAAACTTGAAAGACTTTTATAATCTTTTGATTTTGTTTTATCTAATAAACTGCTTTTATTTGTAAATTTTCGTCCGAATGGCAATTATTAAGTTTCTGAAGACAAATAAATGGTGGTTCCTTTTTGGACAGACTATCTCGTGTTCCAGGCTACACACTTTCTTGGCGACTGACCTTTCTTTTTAGGCTACTGGTCGCCAGAAGTTCAAGTCCTTTTAAAAAAAACAAAAAATATATCCAATTAATTAAAATTACAAGAATTTCTGGTGACATACAGACTTCTTTCTCGCTTCCATCCATACCTTTTTGGGCTTTTTCGGCTTTTATCTACTGGAAAATGTAGATTTAAAAAAGTTGCCCCCTCGTGACGATATTGTAAAACTTTCATTTGTAAATTTTCGTCCGAATGGCAATGTTCTGGCGATCAGTAGCCTAAAAAGAAAGGTCAGTGGCCAAGAAAGTGTGTAGTCTGGAACACGAGATAAATGGTAGTTTCTTTTTGGACAAACTTTATTTGTCTTCAGAAACTAAATAAACTGCTTATTTATTTCAAATGTATACGTTAATGTGAGTTTGCACACGTTGTCGTATTTCTGTCACCGTCATTACAAGTAAGGAAAGGTGGGGAAAGATGAGAATGTTAAAGTTTGAAAAGTCATAAGATGAGAACGATATTTTTTTTCTCAGCAACTACATTATTTGATAATATATAATACAAAATTTAATTTTTGAAAAACGTTTTTAAAAACAAGAAAATTTAATATTTTAAAATTACGTGTAAATGCGCCATCTTGCCCCACCCATGGGGTAAGATGGGGATATTATTTTTATATACAAGGAGGACAAATTAAAATGGTTAAACTGTTGTTTTCTTCAATATTGGCACAAGAACAGTGTGCCCATTTATTACAGCGGCTACATTTAGCCCAAGTCTCTGTAGATGCAGAGTATAACCCTCCACAATAGAGGCATTCTGTCATTTGTTAGGCCTATTCCTGCTGATGCTTGTAACTTTTGATTTTGCGGAATTCTTTCGGTAAACAAAGACCGTTTTCCTGGGGTGCCGAAACTGCTGTTGATTGTTTTTGTTGTTCCATCAGATGCTACTTGTACGGTGTATCTGTTAGGATTTTTGTTTTCCCTCTCCTCCTGCTATTTTCGATTTTTTTTTCTTGGTTTCAACGTTGGAATTGGCATTATTTCTATGGGGGAGACTTGAGTAAAAACTGAATGAGTAGGTTTACTTGTGCTGGTGTAATCAGTGACCGTTTTTGCACCCAGATTAGGCATATCTACGCCTTCGTGGTTTTGGTTGCCTCAAAACGAGCATCCTGGTGTGTCCTCTCTGCTGAAGGAGCCTGTTTGTCGTCTTTGCAGCTATAATGTCTGCCTCCGAAAATACTTCTGGATTCACTGGCCATATTCCCGTCTTTTTGAAGCCATTTATGGCTGTGGGCATTGTTGCAGCTCTAAGGAAAGCATTTCCAAAGAGTTCCGCTATCTGGAAAACGCCTACTACCCGTCCTGGGTTGCAACGTAGCCATTTCGTCACCTCTTAGTCATAATAGGTACTCAAAGGCTTCACGAAAGCCACATCCAATGGTTGCAAACGATGTGCAGTGAGGAGGGAAACACAATAATATAACGCCATGATCTCGAGCAGCATAGTTAATGAGCTCAATGCTTTTTGTGTGCGTAGAACGTTCATCTAAAAACGACAGGCCTTTCTTTTGAGGCTCGTGAAAGCTTTACAAATCGTTTAAACCACGAAATAAAAATGTCACCCCGCGTCCACCCACTTGGATGACACTCTGCTCAAGTCTCAGGTGCGGCACCATTCAGCAATTCTTGCTTGATGCGAAGTCGAGGGTAAACAAACATTGGCGGTAGATATGTAAGCAAACTTCAACTGTTACTGTCTGCCCCCTTTCAGCAGAAGTTAAGGCACCTACTTGCCGTCTCCCCTTCACGGATATAATCCTTCCTCTGGGCATGGGCACGCACAAAATTCCTGTTTCATCGCAGTTGTATGTGCGTTCTGGAGTTAATTTATGTTTATCAACTACAGATGATAACAGTTAAAAAAACGCTGTAACTGCCACCTTAGAGGATATCCATAAATTACGTAAGGGCGATTTCGGCCATTCTAGACCCCCACCTATCCGTGTAAGAAACCGTAATATTTTCTTTGATCCCCTCCCCTTCCCTATCTTATGTAATATTTAGGCATGATTTTTTAGAAAAATTTTAACAAAAAAAATTTTTTATGAAACCCTAAATGAATTCGAATGAACAATTTATTTTAAGAATTTTATTTTTTTAATTATTAAAAAACTTTTTAAAATTATCATCATCATTAATCATTGTCATAATATTCATTTTTAGATTAATTTTCACAAAAGGACGCAAAAAACTTTGACAGATGGACAAACTAGTGCATATGTAAACAGAAACGTCACACAAAATAAAAGAGAATAGAAACCACATTCCGCCATATTAATTACATCTTGGATAAGGTCAATAAAATAAACTACATGCTTCTAAAATGTGCTAGGTGCACCTGGGGAATAAATCATAAAGCTTGTAAAACTCTATATAATGGGGCAATACAATCAATACTACTTTATGCGGCCTCTAGCTGCGATCATTTAACTAGTAAAAATTCAGTAGCAAGTAAATTACTCTCTCTTCAAAGACAGTTTGCCATCATAATTTCGAAGTGCTGCAGAACTGTTTCTACTAATGCCTCTGATACTAGCAAAGCTCCTTCCTTTGCCACTGTGTATTGTAGAAAAGGTTTTAGTCTAAATTACTACATCAGAACTACAAACATCAAGGCTCAACAACAGTCTCTACTCCTATCTACGGTTCTTCATATGCTACCACATTGCAATTACCTTACTATCTGTGATCATAACTCTGTAAACAAGGTTATCCCCAGGGTACATTTGGTGTCATCTGCTTCCTCCATGGATAACAATGTAGACATTAATATCTACACAGATGGTCTAAAAGCTCCCTTCGTATTGGCTCAAGTATCTATATCTTCCTCCAAACATATTTTGCCCAAAATGTGTTAGAAGGTACAGACACTTCCCGCATATCTCTATCTATCAAGCTGAAGATGATGCTGACTACTAAGCTGTTTAGTAGGCCACTTCACTACCAAACAAAACTGTCTATCAACATTTACAGTGTTTCTGTCTGTCCTAAAAGCTCTATTAAATCCCAATTGCAATAGCAATAAAATCACATATATCCAGCAACTTATTAAAAATCTTGTAAATAAGATAACTTCTATATATTTTCCTGGCTATACTGGCATACTTAGAAATGAAAAAAGTGGGGTGTGACTGTGTCGGGGACACGACCGTGTATTTTACGTAAATACGTGCACATTAACGGGTAATATTTTCTTTGGGCATATTATATGTATATCATAATCATTCCTTAACAGTAAGAAGTCCTTCGGATCTCCATGCATTTTACGTTCCCGGCACCGCTTTACTCTACCATATGGTGTTTTATGGGTATCACTGGATTGCTCTCGAGAAGCCCTTTCCAATCGTAAATGATTTCTATATTTTGATTTGGCTTTTCGACAAGTATAGGCCGACATTGTATTTTCTTAATTTTTAACTTTAACACCATATATATTCGCCATAACTATTCCACACTAACGTTTTGTATACGCAATCGATAAATATTGAGGAGAGCTGTAAATTGAAACAAACGAGCGTAGCTTCTCCGAGTCAAAATGTACACTAAACGGAAAGTATGTGACGCGGCGAAACGACCTCAAAATGTCGGCGCTTCCCTCTCGGCCGCGTGCGATTCGTCACAGTCCTCACTCAACGTAATGAATTCTTTGATCCTCTATCGAGTGGTGTAATTAAATTTTGGATGTAGATGATAGATATGTAACTCCAATGCCAAACTGTATCCCTCGATTTTATCATCATCATTTTTCTAAATTGCCTCCCACTACGGAAACAAATTTGAAGACGTATTCCCGTCAAAAGCCGACTTTGAGGCTAAGTAGTCAGCTGCAAAGAACATTGATTCGGACTACACTCGCATCCCTCTCTCACGTAGCAGCCTTAAAAATTATATTCATGACAACGCTATGCAAAAGTGGAACCAACAATGGTCGAGCAGTAAAACTGATAGAATAACAAGACTTTATTTTCCTAGTGTCGAATGCAGATTCTCATCACCACTTACTTCTTAGAGATTTAACATTTGCTACTGCTCAACTACAGTAAAGCGTCGTTTATCCGAAAGAATTCCAGTCGCCAAATTTAAATTTTCGCTAGTGCTGTGGCGCTGCAATCTTTGGCTATATCTTGGGCTACTCCAATATTTGTTTTTGTTGGTGTGTGTGTTTTAGCTGGCAGCTTGGCACTTTTGTGTGGTGTTTTTCTGAGTACTGTGTGTGATGCTGAATCGAACGTTTTTGATACTAGATCGACTTCTAAAGTATATATTTTTTGGTTTTTATATTTTCCAATATATTTATTTTGTTTGTACAAAATAAAAATTTTTAATGATACAATAGCCACGATTATTATTTTAAAAAGTTTACGTTAGGCTTAACATCGACGAAAATTCAACGCGAAGCGACACGCAACGGAGAAAAATTTCAACACGGGATAGGTTAATATATTTTTCGTACATAATCGGTTATCCGAAAAATAAGTTATCCGAACCACCCCATTCCCCAATTGATTCGGATAAACGACGCTCTACTGTACTTACTTAGCATGATAATTTTAGAAGCTACCAGGCGATGTATAACCGGGCAGAAACTGCCTCTCGCTTTTGCTCTAGAGCAGTGTTTCTCAACCTCTAACGAATCGTCGCCCCCTTCACTACAAAATTCCGATGCCGAGAGACAAGACTAACGCCAAATTCGTACTTCATTGAATAGACTAGTGATTAGTATAATGTTATTTGTTTAACTAGAATACCTATTTATTAATGGAACATTAATTAACGATAAACGTATCGAAGCAAAATTGCAATAAATATTAATCATAAAACACATCGAAGCTCGGAGAAAAAAATTAATAAATAAATATAAAAGTTTGACTTACTCGTATATACTGTACTGTACTTTACCAGACGATGACGTTACTTCGCGCATGCTCAGTTTTCGTTATTTTGTAAGCAGACGATATTTTTTTCCCGTGGAAAAAAAAAAATATTTTTATTTCGATTGTTGTCTCACATTTTATTTCTTCTTAAGATGGTATTTAAATTTTAAAAATGTTTTCATAAATAAAATAAAACGAGATTTTTAAATAATGTTTGCACGCGCGGTTTCATCGATATCGAAAATTATCGCGCCTCAAATTTTCTTTATTGTTTAAATATTTTCTAAATTGTTTCTTAAGTAACACGTGTAACAATGCGAACTTGGGCAAGATGGTAGGGCAAGACGGTGTACCCCATCTTGCCCAACGCCCCAACTTTTCATACTGACTGCAAACACGGGTCAACTTTATTTCAAAACTAAACAATTTCAGTCTTAAAGGTTAGTTCGAATATCATAATATCTTCATCTAAAAAGGTAATGTAAAAGTTCACAATGATGCTTACTTTGTAGAAACTTTGCAGCGGGCGTAAAATTAGATGAAGTATTGCCGAAATGTGAAAAACTGTCTTACTTCCTAACAAAGAGAGCGATTCGGACGTTCTCTCGTCCCGTGAGCCCTTTTGAGGTTGACATTTAGTTTCCCAAATAACAGCTAGATGAAAGCGCGTTAACTACGAATAAACAGATGTTCGTCTTACCCCATGGCCCCCATCTTGCACCACTTTCCCCTACTGGGCATTTAATCATTGCTTTCAATGTATTTAGGAAAAGTAAGGTTGCCGGCGAGGGTGGAAATGTCAAGAGGGTCGAGGGGTAGCGAAGGATCTTAAATGCACCGAGACAGACTCTACGGTTCCAAGAAATCGTTTATTTTACACGAAAGAACCTTACAAGATTTCCGCCATCTTGGGAGTTCAAAGTCGGCAACGGCCTCTAGGTCTTCCTCTCCTTTCCAAGATAGTCCCAAATGAAGTGTGTTCCTGATTCGCGAATGACAGTTCCCTCGACGACTCCGGGACCACGCGGTCGACTTCCTATGATGGAAAGATGTCGATCCGAAGACGATAGACGGAAACGAAGATGGGCACGAGACACACACAACTCGGAACTTTAGGGAGAAGCCGTCGAATCCTTGAATTCCCGGGTTTTTATTAATTTCCGTCTTCGATCGCCCATTCCGATTGGTAGCTTTTCCTCGTTTCGCTTTCTAAGTGGTTGATCACTCGTTTCTATGTGTAACGAAATATCAGCTTAGATCGCGGGATAATCAAAACCGATGTTTAATTCGATCCCCAATCGAAGATGGTTGATCTTAGGACTTACATTCTTCTATTGTTTAAAAGTTCGCCTAGCAATTATCATAACAAACCTTGTGTTTTTTTTTTTCCTAAAAAGAATAATTTTAGTGAAGGTTCGGATCTGTCCAGAGCTTGACAAAAAGTCAAATGTAAACAAAACATATGCATTAATTACTGTAAAACACCTTTTCTACTCTTTACTATGAGATTCTTTTTGGAGACAACTGCAGCTTTTCTCTTCGATGAACATTGGATGCTTTTCCATCTAAATTTCCGAATAGTCCATCCTATCTGAGTATTAAAGTGCCGGGCCAACCAGAGGCCAAACGGTCTTCGTTCCCTGAACACTAGGAGTTCGGGTCGTGGTTCGCGCTTCACATGGTTCCGGGTTTTCACCACGTCTGTAACGCCTAAATAGGGGCCAGTTTCCCTTTAAAAAAGACCTCCCGGAAGGAATCCCCTAGGCAGATCGCCCAAGTGTCGCGTTGCCATAACTAAAACCAAACCGGTTAAATTTTAGATACGTATACTGTCATGGCGGCGGTCCCGACTGTTCGTACAAAAGATTGATTCCTCCCGAGGGAAGCCGCCGGCAGGCCGCCTTGTGTCAAACGTCACTAATTATTGATTCACGGTAGTTCTTGAACACACGTATCAATAACTAGTGTGAAGTGCCGCCATAACAGTATACATATCTAAAATTTAACTATAAAAGATAGTGCCTAAATGACTAAAAATCAAAAGATTAAACGATTGAAAAATAAAATGCCTTCTACCGTTTTCACATTGTAGCGGATCCCAAACGTTCGAAGCGCAACTGCTATGTACTACCTGTCATAGTAATGGTGGGTTAAAATGTATACCTGTAACTAAAACAGCCGCTCTTCCGGTCGCCATTTTGAAAGCTACTTACTATTGCGCGATGACAAAAATACCGATAGCGAATTTTACATTTGTTAATGTTACCGATAATTATTTGTAATTGTAAGATTTAGGATTAAAATGTACTTAGGTCACCCCAATGACCGATGTTTTGGAATCGCATTCTAACCTAACCTATTCTAATAAATTAATAATTTCCCCCTTCATATATTTTTTTTATTATTTTACATCTTACATTAGTAATTTTGGTAATTTATTAGACTAGGTTGGGTTAAGTTAGAACGTAATTCCGAAATATAGCCCTTTTGGGTTAACTTTGTACACCTTCAATGAATATCTAAAATGTATGAAAAATACTCACGGTTTAGATTGTTTCATTCTTTTTTACGACGTCTTTTCACACCATTATTAGATTGCGTTGCATCCTTGGACGTAGACCTATTTTCCCCAGTTGTAACCGTAGTATCACCTTTATTTGTGGGTTTTTACCTTTCCCTTTTTTTTCTGTCTTTTTATTATTAGAAATTGGGGCAGCAGGAACACTCTCCTGTTCTTTCCATTTTGGAATCCGACCCAAACCCGGATATATCCAACCTAAATGTTTGAAATCGTTCTCCTGGTGTTTTCGTTTACCAGTTTAATAACCATTGTGCACAGAAATCATCGTAACCAAACGTAAATAGTTAGTCCAATCAACACAGGTCTTTCTAGAAATGCCAACAGCAATCGCAGTGTTGGTTAGAGAACACAGTAAGTGCCAAATAAATGAAATTATTGCACCCCATGAAATATTACAAATAAGCAAATAAAATTACGTATAATACGAATATAATTCAATTACATATAAACTTGTCCGCCAAACAAACAAACTACGACCGGTCGAAGATTAAAAATTTGCATAAATTCAAAACATCACATTTCACAATAGAACGCATAAATTTACATAATTCAAAACACGATACTTGCCAGCTCCCTCTATCGACAATTATTCGTTCAACAGCCCGATTCGAGATTACCGGAAGAGCGGCCATTTTACTTACCTAGATATACATTAACCATATATTTTTTTAAAATTATATCCTTTTTGTAAGAATTATATTTAGTTTATTTTATTACATTATTCATTAAAACTTTTCTTAATTTTTATTTAATTAATAAAGTTGGATTTTTAAAAAAGAATATGGCCGCAATAAACACGAATTTGAATATATAAACGTTTGAATTGTATGTTTGTTTTTATATTTGTACTTTGGTTACACGCTGAATGATGTTATTAAAGTGGAGACATTTTCAAATATTAACGTTAGGGATGTTCTTTTAATTGTTTTGAGTTTCTTTTTTAAAAAAAAAAGCCACCAAAAAATAACTTCATGGCGAATCTCCCACGTTAAACAGGGAAGCTATTTTAGAAGGAACTTTTCTATAGTTAAAAGTGCTGTATAATTAAGAGAAGAAAATTAATAATAATAATAATAATAATAATAAAACTGTAAGAGGATTTAATTATGATTACATTACGTCACCGTCGTTGGTCCCGTTTGATTTCTTCTTCTGCACTCGCATGTTGTATGATTTCTAAAGGTTAGAGTGGTCGTTTTCTGTACAATCGAATCGAATACCATTGAAAATTCATAAAATTCCAATTGTATTTCTTCCATCTTCTCGGCAACGCAATGATCCGAGTCCAAGCTGCAGCATCCTGAATCGTCGGAACATCGATATAAAATGGTACATTTTGGACGATATTTAACATTTTCCCTTCGTAATTCTTCCGGTAATTCACTCCAGACGTTGACGACTTTAGGCAATGGATATTTACACCTTCCAAATTTATCCATTCGAATAAGATGTTCGCTTAATCTCAATGAACTTTCTGATGTTTCCATAAGTTCGAGGAGAAAGAAAATATGCATAATCATTGTTGTAATCATAGCTCATAGTAGCAAAAAGTTTCTGATGATGAAATCAAGAGAGAAAAGTCTTTTTAAAGTAGATTACCCTTGTAAAGTCTAAATTCTCATTGGTGGAGATTCATTATATTTCCAAGTAGTCACTACTGGTCTGTCTAGTTTTGGCTCTCGTATGTTGCTTCTGGCCAGTTTTTATGAATAACAGACAGCACTAAACAGTGGACATCATAATGTCCGCACACGAAGGAATTTTAAATTGACCTTGACAACAAACCTAACTAATTTCGTTTTTTAAAAATTTAAATCTCTATAAAGATTTATAAAATTATACATATAATAGACTTAATATAAATAACAATTTAAAGAAATCGATTTGTTAATCGGTTATTTTGTTAAGAGGAGGAAGAAGTGGGAAAAGGTGATGTGCTAAAATTATCTAAAATATTCTATTTATTAAATAATACCGATGGTATTTAGAAAATAAATATAAATATAAGCCATTTCTAATACTTCTCGGTGGATATAAAACTAAATAGATAATAAATAAATAAATACAAAAGACATTCTTGGGATTAATTTTATTTATCTCATTTAAATGTAATTTACATATACGACAATTATACAAGAATAATTTTTACTAAATTTTAACTTGTTAGGAATATAATCATGAATTTTTAATGTTAAATTCTCATTTACTTTTAAAAGGTCGACCTAAAGATGCCTTTGATTCCGAAAGAATGGCCAGGTGGACGTGTCCATATCTAATGTCAGAAGGTCGTCGTTTTGTTGTGTTTTTTTTTTTTTTCTTCTTTTTTTTTCTTTAATTCAAAATATACGTTAGCCAAAAGGAAAACAAACAAAAAAACACTATAATTGTTGTTATTATTATTATTATAAGTTGAATTTTTAGAAAATAAATAGGTATACAAGAATTAAACGACAAATAATGTATTTACATTATACATTCAATATACAGCGATATGTTACATAATACAAGTAAATATTGTTCCCAGCAACAACAAAGATTTCTCTTCAATTTGTAACCACATATAACAAAGCAGATGTTAATAAAGATTACAACAAATGTCTTCATCGAGATTTATAACGCTCGAACTTTCCGATGAAAGATATTTTTATATCCACAACAAGCCTCTCTCTCTCTCTCTCTCTCTCTCTTTATATATATTTTCTTAATTTGTACATATTTAACAAATGTGCAAAATATCAACGATCTTTACTATCAAATTTAACTGGTCGATATGTTCAAAACCGATGAAACTTTGTCTTTCCCTGAGTGTCCGAGTTATCGCCTCAAGCCGACAATAAATATCTTTGTCAGATGAATGTGCAGCTATTTTCTAAAAAACGACTAGAATGGTCTCTTTTTTTTTTCTGGATTAGAATGTGCAGAAAGCTTTTTTTTTATATATATTCTTATTTTGGGGGGACTTTTTTTGGGTAGTCGCAGTTTTGAACGCCGCGAAAGGTGCGCGGGAAACGACACTTGAACGACAAAACCATTGACGACAACCACATTGACACATTGACACATCGATGGAGGTCGTTCTTTTTCCTCCTCCAAAGCAAGTCGAATAATCCCTGCATTCAATGTTGGCGTCATGTCGAAAATCTAAGATGATCATCGTTCTTTAAACGATTCGTTTAGTTTACACTTATTCGCTTTCGTCTACTTGGGTGCCGTTTGTACTACATTTTCGCATTTCTGCATCTGAGAAGAAGTAAAATCATCACTACAAAATAATATATATATATATATAAAGACATTATTTCGTTCTAATTTATTCAAATTCGGATAATAATAAATTTATCCCAGAGGCTAGAAACTAATTAATCTTTCATTACCGAGGCAAAAGTAATCATTTTGTTTCGTCGGGGAGGGGGGGGATGATTTCTTGAAATTTGTCGATCCTTTCCTGTATTACTTCAAAAAATTACCATATAATTAACGTAGAAATTATAAAAATTAAATCCGTCGAAGATTATTGATTACAATTATCAACATTAAGTAGAAAATAATAAATTAAGAAAGGTTAAATCATTACAAATACTGTAAAAAATAAAAAATAAAAAAAACGATACATTTCTAATTGATTTTATAAATTACCTGAATGGTATAGGAAGGTTATAATACTTTATACTTTATTTTTACTTACAAATACATTATGTAGACATATATAAATTATTAAGAAAAACTTTGTCTTCGGTAAAATATGATGAAATTTCTACTATATTATATTAGTAGAAAATTCAATATCCCTGTAGAAATTTCTCTTTTTTTTTTTTCTTTTATCGCATTACGTTCGACTTACTTAATATATTAAGTTATCAGTTATAAGATTTACAGCAAGAAAAAATGACCCCCCTATAACACTGTTGATTTTTTCGTTTTATATGAATTCCATGTTGTACGAGTCACTTAGATTTTACAAATACGTGAGCCATTCACAGCCCGGCACACGTATTTGTAAAATCTAAGTGACTCGTACAACAAGGAATTCATATAAAACGGAAAAATCAACAGTGTTATAGGGGGGGGTCGACTGGTACAGCTTTATACTATTTATTGCATTAAATAAAGAATATAAAAAAGAATTAAAGCCGTAATCTATAATTATTTTAATTTATATTTACTTCTTAGACGAATGACAATTTTAAAATTATAATTCGTATATTTATTTATATAAAACAATCCGAAAGATAATCATAAAAGTAATCACAGTTTGTCTGTTGTAGAATTACATACGTGTCATTTACGTTCTATTCAAAAACCATCATCACTAACATGAAAAATAATATAATGAAAAAAAAAAAATAATACAATAGTATATTTGCCATTGGAAATAGCTGTGGTAGCATAAAAAAGTCATGAATTAAGCAGTCATTATGTAGATGTTATCTATGTTATAGTTCCTGTTACAACAATGTATTCGTTATAAATCCTGTTTGTGTTGTAACTTTAATAAAATACTCGAAAATCTATTAAGTGAAAATGATATTTCCGGTTGATAAAATTTTAAAAAAAAAAAAAGACTGGATTTTTAAATATTTCACTTAAATCTAATATAAAATAGGTTTTTTTTTTAATGTTAGAGAACGTAAGAAGAGCAAAATGTCGTTAAATAAAACGTTAGAAGTTAGTTATCAATACGCACTTCCTACCTTTATCCGCTCTTTCTTGCCAATTAATTCGATTCTGTTCCAGACAACTTAACCACGGTCTTTTACCAATTAACTGTTCCCTCCTTCCAGCAATCGGCGAAGATCTAGGAGTTGGAATAATAGGTTCCGACAAAGAAACTGAATCTGCACTTTTACTCGGCGATTGCATAGCTGTTCTGTGTCTCGACGATTTAACGTCAGCTAAAAAATGATACAAGTTATTCCAATTTATTACATTTTTTTGGCGGAAGTTTCGTCTTTTTTTTTTTTTTTTTTTTTCTTTTGTAACGCGAGTACAGCTAGGTTATTACTAGAAAAGTTGCCTTTTTATCGAGTAGGTAATATCCTACGGGAGATATCCAAGGTCGAAACGACAACATTCAACTCTGATCTACTACTAAGTCTCGGTTGCTTTGACCTTGTGTCGATCGTTAGAACGTTGCCCGGCTTCTAGCCTCATTCATCCCCCATTCATTGACACGCTTTGGTGTCATTGGGGTCAAACGCCGAACAATTTAGATGCCTTTATTCCATTAATAACACTTCTCCGAGAAAGACTAATACGTATTAAATGGCTATTTCGTAACAAGAATTTCAATCCAGTGTTTTTAAATATTATAATGTTTGTCGAAGGTTTAATCTGGTTTAAAAACAATTTATACGAGTGCAATCTTTCGGGGAAGCGATTGCATTTCAACAGAAGGATCCGGGTTCGAGCGAGTGTAGCCGATCTGATCTTGCAGGATCGATCGAAAAGATAGTTAAATGTAATTAAAAAGAGAAAGAATCATTTAATTAAATTCTTAAATGGTTTTTGAAGAAGCTTGATTGGTTAACATCGGCTTTTTACAATTCGTTTATAATTTAATGGACATAAAAGTGGCAATTATCTAATTGATATAACTTATGATTAATTCATAATTTATAAGCTAAAGCGTTAACACTTAATTTATGACGTACGACTTCCTTACACATTTAAATATTCATTATTATTTCGTTAGCTTCTAAGAATGCATTTTATATGTAGTTCAATTTTCTTAAATGATAATTATATGTTAACAAATTACACAGAGTTGTTGTAATAAATAAATAAAGAAGAAAAGGAATAGAATATTTACAATCTCATCACCTGATTCCAAATGAATTTTCCTGATTCTAGAGATCTTCGGTAGTTATAAAACTATCCAGACATATAAAGAAAAACAAGAAATAAGTCATCACGACAAGGATTGGATGTAGAACTTCTGGGTCGATAAGAAGTGACTTTGTTTCTTTGTCCGACTAAACCATTAACTACAGTTACTACATCATTCCTGACAATGTGGTCATCCTAATTAATAACGATGACATTAGGTGCTAACTTTTATGCTGGTTTCCCAAAGCAGTAGATAATCAAATAATAATAATATGATTAATTACATTTGTTTAATATTTTCATAAGAAAATAATTTGTTTAAAATTGTTCCTATTAGAATAATGAAATTCTACTTTATGTTATTTAAAAGAATATACAAATGAGAATTTCCAAAAGCATTAAAGTTTGTATTTTTAATTTAAAAACAATGGCGAAGGATTTTTCAACTATTGTGTGAAATCTGTTTTCAATTCTTTTCATTGTAAAGTTTACATTTGTCTGGACTAGTAGCAATGTCAACACATTGAAACCAATCTGTCGAAATATTCCTTTTAGTTTAATATGATAAATATTTACAGAACGATTGTAATAAATATCTAATTGTGTTTTTGTTTTTCTTTACATACATTCTTAATAAACTTTAAATAAGTTATGGCCAAGTCATTTCCTTTTAGTTCTTGTTTTGGACTTGTTGACGGCATGTCATACAAATAAGAACATAACGACTAATAATAAATAAGAATATAAATACTGACGAGAGAGAATTTCACATACAAATTATCTAACGTACACTTGATTTCGATGTTTGTCGGGTCGTCATTTCAAGTTTCCAGTTGCATAGAAGCGTAAACTAATAAGTAAATGCAATAGAGGTGATATGATTTCTTCTTGTATTATATGACGGCAAGAGGTGTTTGATTTCGTCACATACGTGTACAACGTAACAATAGTTCTTTTAGATGAGTATATCAATCACCATCCCGTTTTCTTCTTTTCTGCCTCGTACCATTGTGTAATATTAAGTTAATTAAGCTGTTATTCACGAAGTAAGTTCAGACTAAACTTTTATATAATTATTTTAATACCTAGTGTACTTGCTATCATAGAAAGTGTTGATACTCTGATCCATAATCTCATCCCTGGAGAATACAGAACCATGTACCATGTAAATTTGACTGTTTTTGACCTTTTTCTGCTTATTCATATTGCTTAATCGCTTACTCCACAAACATTATTATACACTCTTAACGATTATAGTAATATATAAATAAAATATTCTCAAATATTTACATAATACTAATAATAAATTATCTTAAAAAAAATTTTCATCTTAACGATAAAAGGACATATTTTGAGAAGCAGAAGGATGCAGATGGAAATGAAATTATCAACATAGAACAATGTGACTAATCTATTCAATATAAAACAAAAATAATTTTTAAATCGTCCTTCTGATTTCTTAAGCAAATATTTATATTTTCGTGTAAACATTTATAAAAGACGGTCCTTCAACCGCCAGAAGAATTCGATGCCATTTGCAAGGCGCTCGATCTCTCTCTCTCTGTGTGTGTATTTATGGGATTAGTTGCATATGGCCTCTTTTAAATCGAAATTTATCTTTTTGAAGTATGAAATCTGCTAAAAAGCTCGGTTGTAGATAAATTCTCAAATGGTTTTCACAATAATAAACAATCTACGATAATGGTCGATACATCAAGAGATCAGAAATGTGGTCTTTTAACATTAGATAAAAGCCAAAAACGTATCATATATCGAACCAATTTCTTCAGATAAATGATATTAAATACGTGATATATTAAAAGATTATACAGAATATCTGAATTCCTTTCAAATAAAATAATTTTAATATATTACAAGATGTAATATAACTTACTCGTACATCTCTTTTTTTTCTCTTATTAAATTAAAATACGCTTCAGATTTTTTTAAAATCAATATTAAAAATAACATTACCTTCTTCCGTTTCTTGTAGAGTAGGAGGACGATGAAGATAATTCTGAATCTTTTCTAACATACCTCCGCACACTTCCATACTGGGAGCCACAATAAAATCTATGAAACCTAAAATTAAATGGTAATAATTAAAAATATTACGTTAAAGATAAATAGAAAAGCTAGAAAAACAATGTAATACGAATCGAACCTATTTGAGATTCAGCCACAAGAGTTGTATTTCGATCGCAAAGAGGGGAATAAGGTAATCCTAGTGATTTCTCTTTATCTCCCTTGAAAAATAAATTATTCAGTGAATGATTAGGCAAACCGGAACAAGTAGTAATTTAAATAAATGATTCATTTCTACCTGTTGAAAGAATTCTTCCATTAGTAGTTGCGTCCACCTGAAATGAAGATCCCATTCCTTACTGGGATGACTGATGTCACTACAGTGAAGGACTAAAGACAAGGCCTTAGCTTTGTCGATGCTTTAAACGAAATAGAAAAGATAATTCAACACCTAATAATTCAATTAGTATTAATTGATTAATTGCAATTTCATTTGTTACTTACTTAAATTCCGAATGGGTTAATAAAGACTTCATCGATTTAATTTGTTGGAAATGAGACGACATGTCCGTTCCTAATACCATTTCGATGACTAAAGCACGAAATTCCCTGTCAATGAAATTAAATCCGATTTAATTCCATCCGTCTACTAACTAATTATCTATTGGGTAGTTACTAGTCTTTTTTCCACCAATGAAAATAAAAATATTCTCCTCGCAAACCGCCTAGAAGTGGTTTTAAAACCGTTTTTCTTTCTTTTTTCTTTTTAATAGCTTATCTTCTACTTTTCAGCAACTGTTTCCATAGAAGATAAAATAGCACCGAGCTTAGCAACCGTTGTTAGGATGGCATCCACTTCGAGAAAGAAGAACTCATCTACACGGTCGCGATGAAAATAGAAACGTAAATGAACGGCTTATTTATAAATAGTAATTCTCCAATTTTTCCACCGAGTTACTGTTCTCTCGAGCGAGTTAATTATTCTCTCGAGATAATAGTGATAATATACTACATCAGATGGCGCCACTATTTAGTACAGGGTGGACCAAAAATCACTTTACCATAGAAAAAAACAACCTCGCCTTTGTGAAGAGCAAAACGAGAGTCATTTAAAACATGTTATCTTTCATGTTTAGGTTATAAAAATTTCCAAGATGTATACATTATAATGTTAAAAAGAAATTTATAAAATAATTAAAAGTAAAAAAGTTATTTCATTTTTAAATGATACAGTTACTTTTCGCCCACATTCAATCAATCGAAAAAAACTAAAGCTTCTCTAATATAAATTCTTCGCGCTTAATATGAATTTAAGCAAATATATTAATAAATTATCTGGTTTTAGAAATATTTTAAAATTTTTTCTTCTTGTTTTTTTACTCTATTTANTTGTACGACAAGAATTTTTTAAAATTTTTTCTTCTTGTTTTTTTACTCTATTTAAGTTCGTATATTTTTCTGTTTCGTAAATTGTTTGTAGCCACAAACACAACATCCATCTTGAAAACACAAAAATTAACTAGGTTATTCCAGTCCAGGATAATAAAATGTATACTATTGAACACCGAACTAAACAACTTAATCAATAATCTCATTATATAAAGATTCGAGCTTAACTTTTACGTACAATACATACGTATTAATAATAAATTTCTATTTGTTACTGGATTAAAAAGAGTTGTTTAAAAATAACTAAAATAAAACCGGTATTATATTTTTATTATTTATTTTTTCAGTTTAAAGAGAAGTAAGAAGATAAATACTTAATAACACCAAGAATTTCTAAACTTTATTTTTCTTGTCTAATAATAAAACTCTGTTTGGTTAGAATTTCTTAAAATTAGTTAAGACAACCGCCGGATTAACTTGTTTCTCTTCTGTTCTTTCTAACAAACTACAGCTGTCTACATTATTTAACAAAGGAATTTCCTTTAAAATCATTATGTTATACAAATTTAATCCAAGCAAGCGATCAATCTTTGTATAAAATGTTCTTCTTTCTAATCTATTAAGTCTATTGGCATTAAAATCTATTGAAATCAAATAGAAGTTTGAATCTCTTCTTTAATATATATATATATATAATTTTAGTATTTACACCGTTAACGTTATTAAAAGTAGTGATTTGTAATAGGTTAATCAGTAAAATTTTCTATAATTTAACAAAAGTAACAAAGCTTTCGTTTAACAATTAAATGTGACCAACTGTGTAGTGAATTGTTTATACAACTCGTAATGAGATTTTTAAGTACGAAAACAGCGGTTCCTCTTCATCTAATGATGAAAACACACGCTGTTTTCGAACGTTTAATACACTTTAATTTTTCTTGTAAATCGTAATCAATCAATTTTTAATTAATATCTAAACTTACTCCTTAAATCTTTCATAAAACAAGAGAAACAACACATTCTCGTCTTGTCCAAATAGTAGAAGAGTAGGTGTGTCACTGACGTCAGTGAGACGTATCTGTAGCGAATTGTATCGAATTACAATGACGATAGAAGTCGAGAACATAAAAATGTCCCATACTTATTTATACAGATAACTGCTGATGATAGATCGATTTTTCTATTGTATTATATATCGATATGTTTCCGATGACAGGCAAAAAACATCGTACTTTCAATTAACGAACTCGCCCACAACTCGATAATTATTAATCTATAATTCTATATCGACAGTGAGTAATTTAATATAAACGAACAGCTACATCCCACACTAAATTAAAAAATTGGATCAAATCTTTTTTTTATTATTATTATTATTTATTTTGTTACAAGGTTAGAAGAGATAAAGGAAGAAAGATTTTATAAACAGCCTCAGAAAGGGGGGGAGAAGCGGTACTATTTAATAATTACTAATAAGATTCCTATATATTTTGCACGTAAACAAATTATATAACTTTTAAGAGATCGGATATTAGTCTTTTTTCTTTTTGTATAATAGTTAATAATCTATTAAAGGAAACATTTTTTTGTGTTTGTGTGTCTCTCTCTTCATAAAAATCATGTTTTTGTCTTTCTAACAATGCAACCTTTTGTGTAGAAGAATTCGAAAAGAGTCAATGGGAAAGAACAAATGGTCCTTTCTTATAAGAATAAACTAAATAAGAAAAATCATTACTTCTTTACATGGTTATTTTAAAGAAAAAAAAAATTTCGATTTATTATATTGTTAAATCGAATAATACAGTTTAAGTACTGGATATTTTTTAAATAACTTAACAATAAACATTTGATCAAGATCTGTATAAATAACGATATTTTGTCAATTTAATATAAATGTTAATGAAATATATTTTAATACAAAAAGTAATTAATTAAACAAGTAAACGGATCCACTTGACATTTTATATTTTTGTATTACTAGATATTGTATATACCGTGTATATAGAATATAGAGTTAAAAAGAAGAGAATAAATTTCTCTAGGATAATTAAAGCACTAAATTTTCAGGTGAATATAATCCATAATATGTTTATTTAATATCATTTACGTGAAATGTCCTATATAAAAATAAACAATCGTAATTATTTAAACGGCAATGTGTCTATTGGTATGTAAGCTTTAACACGTAGCCTTTACTTAATTTAATTACTACTATAGCGAATAAACGTTAACCAATATATTTTCTCTCTATTTCTAACTTATATAATACACAGTTACTATATATATAGGTTATATAACGAATAATTATTAATTAAATTAATCTTTTAAGTCCGAAGAAGAGGAGAAAAGTAAATGCGAGCCAATCAATATTCATTTTCTACTGATCTTATCATCAAAGCTGTACCTAATCCGGATGAGGATGATGCGGACATAGGTTAATATTTTACGTACCTGTATTCCTCTCTACTCAGATTGACCAGAATATTATAGTCTTCCTCTTTTAATAATTTAAAAGCTGCGCTGGTGTGATAATTCTCTAAAACCGCTCGATCGTTGTAAAGCAGAGCGGTATCTGATCTAGAAAAAAAAATAAATTTCTTAATTAAGACGAAAGTAAAAGTTATTTAAAACGTCAAAGTATCGTTTCCACTTACCCGGACATGACGTGGAAATTATTAGTTGTACCGGTATGTTCGAAGTCGTGTATAATTGCAGCTATTAGAGTGGCAAATACCTCTAAATCGTTCAGCCAATTCTGAAATATAATTGCAGACGAAAAATTCAATTCACTTTAATAATGCTTTTTAATCATCCATGCGATCCAATTCGATCACTGAAGATTATCTTCTTATCGTTTTATAACAATTACCAGGCATTATTCTTTCTACAAATGCTATTTTTACTTACATAAATCTCTACTGAATTTAATTTATATATATATATATATATATTATTATTATTTAGTATCAGAATTCCTATAATAATTTTAAATATACGGTATTAATTATATTATACAGATGTAAAATAACATTTTGTTCTAGTCCATGCATGCTGATATACTGTTAATTACTGTATATCCTTATATACAATATGTAATATTGGAAATATCCTTTATTTGTAATTCAAACAATAGTATAATATATATCCATCGATTCTATAATTTTACTCATTATAATGTTAGTTTAACAGTATTATAGATAGTTATATAAATAAATAAACACGCGCATAACATTATATTTAGGGTACATTTAAGAACATATAATATAACAATTACAAAAGGGTAAAGGTCAACTATAAAGAACGGTTATTGTTAGTTGTATGGTCATCTATCCTTTTTAATAATTATCGAGTATAGAAAATGAAATTTATAATGGTTAATTATTACAGGTTGACAGTTATTCTGTAACACAATATTTAATAGGAATCAACGTTACCCGGGACAGACACTAATGACAAAAAACAGCTGGAAACAATTCTCTTTACTTACGGCCAATCCCGCTTGACACAACATATAATGGACGGTTTGAGTCACATCCGCTGCATGGATATTGTTATGATATGGATTTTTATGTCGTCCGTATCCAGTTTCTATTTGTATCAAAAAGTTCTCGAGTATATTCGATGGTATCTAATAAGAAAAGATTTTATAATATACTGTATACTAGATAATTGTAAAGCGTTTCTTACCTTAAATTTATGAATTAATCCATATCTGTTCAATAAATCGTGGCTGATGTAACGTAACGCTTGACCGTTAGCTACATCGTTAACGGTGAACACATCGAAAGACCAATCATCTGCCGCCTGTATAGAAATTAATTTTTTTTTTTTTCTCACTATATAAATAAACCTATATATCAAGATGTAGATATACTCTAGGGTACGAAGACGACATTCGAAATCTAAGAATAGGGACGATTTATTTACTTTAAAGGCAAAAATATTTTAACTGTACGGAGATTTAATACAACTGGAATACAATTTAAGAGGTGAAGAAGAAATATACCTCCGAATGAATTACAAACAGCTGCACAAGCCAATAAACTTTGAGGAAAAAAAAAATCCACTACTCACCTTTAACAAAACAGCCACTTGAGATGGGATTTGCAAAAACGTAGAACTGGATATTCTGCGGTAAATTCTGTAAAATACGAACGAAATTAGAGGTATTAATTGATGAGGAAGTAACGGGAACGTAGTTTCCTCACCTGTCGACCATTATTCCTGCCCTGATGGCGTTGGCCACCGAACGAAATCGCGGTTTTTCGTCCGCTCTTCTTCTCTGTGTGGCCGTCTGTCGAGTAAATGTCGATGCTAACCATTCCCTGACTTCGTTCGGAACCGCATCCGGTTGAACTTCCGAAAGTTCGTCGTCTTCGTCCAAAAGACGCCTATTATCGACGAGAAAATCATTGAAATATACGAAATAATCATCAAGGCGCGAAAATTTTCTAAAACAGAGAATGCAGGATCGATCGGTCTTTTGTTTGGTTGACTGAGGAAGGAAGAGATTTGTGAGGTTTTTCTGGTCAAATCGGTTGGAAACGCAGACGGAATAAGGAATTGGGAATAGGTTACAAGGAACAAACATGCTATCGGTCGTTTTTGTCTGCGGAAATAACCAGGGACAAGTGATGCATTGATACATGCACGACAGACAACCAACGACATGCAACAATGTGTCCATCTATTTTTTTAGTCAGATTTTTTTTTTATAAATGGGCTTATTTAGACAACAAATTTACAACATTGATTTGATTCTCTCTCTTTTTTTATTTTTTGTGTGTCGTTCGGAAAAACGATCAGAGGTAAATTTGGACACGCGCCACACACAACAAATGACCTGGTCCATTGAGCGACGACTGAGCTAGCGGGTTCGATCTTGGGTTGATCTTGTGATGGAGTAACTTTGACCAATCGACGACGATTTTCTTCCAACCTGTTGTTGGCCGGACTGGCTTTCAACGCTGGTTTCTTCCTATTCAATAATAAACACTCCGTCCATAACAGGCATAAAGTTAGTCATTTTAGTTCATAACTGGTTATTATCAAATCGGATGTTAGTTTAGTATAACATGTTAATCTGTTTTTAAAGCATTTCGGGATAAATTTTTATTTTAAAATTGTGAATAAGTTTTTTGTTTTTTTTTCTACTTGTTATATGGTGATCTGTCTTCGGTATCTTTTATATTTCAATTTATATATATATTTTTTCGTATTCTCAAGGATTAACTCGTTAGTCCCTTCCTTTATATAATAATAGGAATATAACGATAAAACTAATCACCTAACATCGACGTTTGGCACAATGCGGTTTCGTTCTTTCCAAATTTTTAACGATCGTTCGATAGCACGAAATGTTGCCAAATCTTTCTTCGTCCTTGACGTATTGTCACGGAAAGTAACGTAAAAAAAAGGAGGGATAAATTCGACATTCTAGCGGCTTTAAGCACAATCCCTAAAGTATGAACCGTACACTCACTCGTTTTTAATTAAATAGTGCCAAACGTATTATACTAATAGGAAAATTTTCTTTAGTAACGGTAGGAAGTTGACCCGATCCGTTATTTGCAAATGAACGGTGGCATTTGTCGTAAAGAGAAAAGAATATGAAGAGCTAAAGCGAAGAGGGTCAAAACGCGAGTCAAAATGAATCAGCCGATTCGTCGTCGGAGAGATGGAGGCTGGAGGTAAAAACCGTGCATTGACAGACGGAAGATTAGAAACGTGCCAGCTGTTATCGTCCGATCCTATTTAACAAAGGTGCCATTACTTACCGCTCCATGTTGTCAGAGAAAGACTGCCGATCCAACCATANTTTTATTTATTTATTTTAAATTGTTTTCTAGTTAATGAGAAGTTAATTCTGTTTTAGATGAGTTTAGAAATTCGCTTAAAGCTGCGAGAAGGTTTTAGAAGTGGCTTCTAATTAAGAAACCAATTCGTTGAACGATAAGATGTCAACCGGGGAGAAAGTAAAGAGGAGGAGGAGGAAGAATCTTTACCTGGCAGCTGCTTTATCACAAGCTTCCAATGTGCCCACGGGTGGTAGAACTTCAACTTTCTCTTCCATGCTTTCGCAGTCCTGTGCTAAAGTACGATGCAATTGACCGGGTCGAGGATTGGTTCTTCTTACCACTATGGTACCCTGCGCTATGGGTGCGAGATAAATTCCTAATTATTCTTTTCGCTTAGCTAAATCCACGATAAAATAATAGGAAGTAGTAGTAGTAGTAGTAGTAGTAGTAGTATTTTCTCGTTTAATCAATAAATTTCGTCACTTTTTTCGATATATAATATATACTATGTGTGTGTATGTGTGTGTTTTCCTATTTCATCATGGCATTAAGTCTTCCGTCCCAAGAGGTATTCTTGATAAAGAACCGATAAACGTTACCTAATTTCTGTCCTGTTTCGCTCTCAGATGTCTCCTCCGCATTTGATGTTTGGTTGTCTGGTGGATTAGCAACTGTATAAGAGAAATAATAAAAGAAATTATCGAAAAATATATATATGAGTGAATTATTTCTCTTTTAAACAATGTATTTTATATATTTATTTACGCGTTTTCGTCCAAGAAAATTCGCTCTAAATCGATTTCGACTTCGGAAAATATGATTTAAAAATACTCTGGAAGAAGACAAAAGAAAAAAGGAATTAACTATAAAACCAAAAAGGAACACCTGGAATTTAAAACTATTTTCTCTTAACGTTTCGATAAGACTCGAATGTATCTAAATACTCAGCAATAAGACCAAAAAAAAAAGGTCGAATTTTGTAACCATTCCAAAAGTCATCTTTTATCTTTCGATAACGTAATTTAAAGTACTGTAAAATTCGAATGTCTCTAGTAAAACCTTTATTATTTCTTATAGAAACAGTAGATAGACTGAGACAGAATAGATCTGTTTACAACATTTTTTTCTTTTTTGATATTTTATTAAATTTCCTAGCTGTATTCTCATCCTTGTTAGTTTCTTATAGGCCTATATATATATGTTAAACTGTATTCTATAGTCCCATAAAAGCATAGAAAGAATCGATGTAAGTAACATCGATTTAATACATTTTATACTGTAGTTGTTCATTCGATATGTATTGAAGTTTTTAAAGATTATTCAACTAACTACTAAGATTACTATAAAGTATATAGGAATAGATGCAGCAGAGAAACTTTATCTGACAAACTTTCTAAGCAAAGTGAGACTTATTATGTTACAAAAATAATATTTTTAAGAATCTTATTTCGTATCGTCTCCATTTATTATTATTATTTTTTATTTCTGTCCTATAAATATATATATATATAACGTTTTTTCTATTCGAATTACAAATAAATAGTAGAATAATAAAGGGAATTTATCTTCGTTATCTCCATGAACTTTTAGAAATTTAAACGAATTACAAATTGTGTATAAAGAAATAAAATTATAAAATATTCACATGAAAGAATCGATCGGTTTATACAAAATAAACATTGGAAAATGTTTTCAAAACCGTTTGGCCTATTTTCTATACCAAATCAGCTTTTCGTCTAGAAGAATTTTAAATGTCAAAAGTCTTTAGGAACCACAAAAATCCTTTCAGTTATTGTATTAGCTTTATTATAGACAATAGCTACGGTCGTAATGATAATTCGGTTGATATAAATGATACTGTCGTCCTTGATAACATCTCTTTAATCATCTACATCAACACATTAAATAAATAAATAATTATCTATAGAAATACTGTATATATTTAAACATATTTATAAAATAAATTATTTTTGTAATTCATATAACATTAAACGTATAAGCTTATATATAATCAATCGAATCTTCCTTTATTTCCTCAGTTATATATAACTGAGGAAATAAATTAAAGATAAATATTTTGCCACCGAAAACCGTAATATTATGAGAGAATTTCCTCTTTTTTTTTTATTTATTTATTTTAAATTGTTTTCTAGTTAATGAGAAGTTAATTCTGTTTTAGATGAGTTTAGAAATTCGCTTAAAGCTGCGAGAAGGTTTTAGAAGTGGCTTCTAATTAAGAAACCAATTCGTTGAACGATAAGATGTCAACCGGGGAGAAAGTAAAGAGGAGGAGGAGGAAGAATCTTTACCTGGCAGCTGCTTTATCACAAGCTTCCAATGTGCCCACGGGTGGTAGAACTTCAACTTTCTCTTCCATGCTTTCGCAGTCCTGTGCTAAAGTACGATGCAATTGACCGGGTCGAGGATTGGTTCTTCTTACCACTATGGTACCCTGCGCTATGGGTGCGAGATAAATTCCTAATTATTCTTTTCGCTTAGCTAAATCCACGNCCATCTTTTCCATCTTACTTAAAAGCGTATCTTCATCCTTTTGTTTTCTATCATAGAATTTAAATTTTTTACATTAGAATTTAACATATTCTAATTAAAGTAAAGGTTGTTTATTTTTCTACTTTCCTACTAAAATCTTTGTAAAAGATTTCTCGATCTTCTCTGGAATTTAAAAATGATCGAGATCAATGCCATAACAATCTGACAAGCACAATAACAGAACCTTCTCTATGAGTTAATTAAACAAACCATTATGGTTTCTAACTACAAAAGCTTGTGTATTATCATCTTTAATATATATATAAACATATATATATATATAAAATAATACATCACACTAAATTTATTTATGTTTTTTTTTTCTTAGTTAAAGGAGGGAAAAAAAATACATATTTTCTGTAGAAATTCTTATAAACCGGTAGACGAATTTTATTAAATTTTAAAGGATATGTATGAACGGTTTTTTTTATCCGTATTCTGCATTTTATTAAAGAAAGAAAGGAGTAGAAGCTTTATCTTGTTTCTCGTATAAGATACAACATATATTAAACTGACGTAAATATTAAGAAAACGGTTAGGACGTAGCGTAATTTAGATGAAAAGCTCTCAAATTTCGATTTATCTTCTCGGAAAAATCATAAAATTTTAAACGAGAAAAAAGGAAAAATGACTTTTTTTTAAATGTATAAAAATTTAACTTATAGAGAGATAAAGCTTTTAACTTTGTTAAAGATAATATCATATAACACGATTCTTTTAGATATGATAATTGATAAAATCTATTATTTTATTTTATCTTCGATAGATTTACAACAAAATAATAAATACAGGAGGACATTAAGATAATTAAATAGGTTATTATCCTACTTAAAAAGGACTTTTTATTTTTTTTCTTATGGAAATTTGATACGGAAAGTCTTCATTAATTAATACAATTTTTCATTTTAATGGTCTTGTTGCTAAATAAAGATATTTTAGTCATTTTCTAACGTATCTTTAATGTAGATTTTTGCTAGATTTAAGAAGAGATTGTCGAATATTCCAGATTAATCTTTTCTTCGAAATAAAGTGTTAATCAGCGTAAAAAAAAAAATAGGCAATCTACTAGCGCAGAAAAACATTTGAACCGTTACTTAAGCGTGTTTCTTTTTTAGTCAATTTTCCACGGCTTAAAAGTATTTCGTGTGTAGCTTATTAATCTCATTACCGTTGACAAAAATGCGTAAAATGCCTATTAAAAATAAAGGAAAGACTTTATCGAATCAATCAATTATCGAATGTGAACTGTAATATAAATCAATAAACTCTCTCGGGTTCTTTAAAAAGCTGTACAGGAGGTGGTGCATGCCATTCGTCTATTGTCAATGGTTGAATTTCGTTTAGTGCAGGAATATAATTTGATGCCTGCGAAGTTTTTTGATAAGAAAAGGAAGAAATATCCGACTTTAGATATGACTGAGACTTCAGACTGCCAAACGACGATAGAAATAAAACAGCTTTGAATGTTCCATCTCGCAGGACATCTACTCCATTGACCGAACAGAAGCACGCTCGACAATAAGTGAATATTTCCCAATAGATTTTTTTTTCTTTTTTTTTCCTTTTTCTACTAGCGATAAACCGAGCGGAAAGCTTCGAAACACACACACACACACAAAGTTCTTATTCAAACAGACAATAAACTGTATGCAAATGTAAAGAGAACTTCCAACTTTTCTACTTAACAATAGAATTACAAGAAACGGTGTTGTTCGTCGTTCCGTATCCTCAACCCCCATCCAAAATAAATAGCTCGTTAAACATTATCGAATTAAACTCTTAAAAACTATTAAATTTATATAACGTTATTAATGGAGAAAGGAAAAGATATAAAAGAAAAATTAAAATACCAAAGATATATTTGGGAGAAACGTCACGAAAAGTTTTTCCGATTACAGATTTTTTTTTTATCCTGTTTAATTTATAAGAAAATTTTGCCTTCATTAAAAGAAATGGATTTTAGAGGAGGACAGAAATTTAAATCAATCCGTCCCATGTGACACAATACGGGATAGGTGAATTTGATATATATGCAAATTGAGAATAAAGAAAATGTTTTCTAGATATATATAACGTTTTTCTATTCGAATTACAAATAAATAGTAGAATAATAAAGGGAATTTATCTTCGTTATATCCATGAACTTTTAGAAATTTAAACGAATTACAAATTGTGTATAAAGAAATAAAATTATAAAATATTCACATGAAAGAATCGATCGGTTTATACAAAATAAACATTGGAAAATGTTTTCAAAACCGTTTGGCCTATTTTCTATACCAAATCAGCTTTTCGNGAGGAAGAAAAAAAAATTTCAAATTAACTGTTTAGGAGACAAAATATATAGATTTAGATAGGATATTGATGTTGACATACGAAGACAGCATTTAATTATTGTTTAAAACGATGTCGTATCTTGCCAAATGTCTATAGAATCTATTTTTACAACGCTGCGGTGACTTTTATAAACAAAATATTACCGATAGTGTCTACGCATAGATATGAAAGTTAACTAGAAAAGCTTGTATTTTCTAGTTAAATTGTCGAATGAGATGAGAGAAGAGAGCTTACCGATTAAGTAAGAATATCCATCCAAACGTAAAAAACACCTTTTTGATTGTTCACGTGGACTACCGTCGGACGAAATTGGTGGTAAACTTCGCGATTTGTAGAGTACGTCTTTAACACGTTCCATGATAGACTGCTCGAGGCGACTTGCTATTTTTCATTTCCGATACCTGTACAGGTATACAGGCGGAGCTTAAGGTTATGACATTGTGACGTAAAACAACAGCTGGCACGTAAACTTATTTCCATTCTTTTTTTTTCTACGGCGAGAACAAAAACAAACTGATTAAGTACGAATCCGATTAAGTACGAATCCATTTAAGAATCGAAATTACTTTCTTAAATCGACGATGAAAGAATTGCCAAATTACTTTCGATAACATAAAAGTATCGACGTGGTTTCTTAATAAAAAAAAAAAAGAAAATAGAACGTTGACTGTATCTTCCATCCGTGTAATATAGAATTATCTTTTTTTACGAGATGTGATTTTTATCGTAAACGGCTTTATCTCGCTCGACCCCAATTATTGTTAGCCATCTTAAACACACATTT